AATGTTTTTCTGTTGTATAATTCATCATTATTTTTCAGGGCAACATTGACATAACTATGCTCCCTTTTCAATATAGTTTTCTATCAAGAACATTAAGTTCATATACTACCTGATTCTGCCACTAAAATGTATGAATGCAAGACACTTTCCCATTAAAATCACTGAGGATTGATGAACCTTTCTTTTTCTTGTTTTCAAGTGCTAACCAATGATGGTAATATGCATCAATGTAAGTTTCTAAATCCAACACAGAAGGGGGCGGGGAGGCAGAGAAGAAGGAATGCTTGCAGAGACATTTCACACTTTCCTAAGGCCTGAGTGCCAGAGCCTTGCTTTGAAGTCCCATCCCAGAAATGATTGGTTTCACATGCTGATTTTACCTTATTCTTAGGTGCTTTATACATACCTAAAAGAGAAAGACAAAAGATATGCCTATTCCATTATTAAAAAGTCAGAAAATAACAGATGTTGGTGAGGTTGCAAAGAGACAGGAACACTTACATACGGCTGGTGGGGATGTGAATTAGTTCTGCCACCAGTGGAAAGCAGTTTGGAGAATTCTCAAAGAACTTAAAACAAAACGACCATTTGACCCAGAAATCCTATTGCTAGGATATTCCTAGAGGAATAGAAATCATTCTACAAAAAAAAACCACATGGACTCATGTTCATCTCAGGCTATTCACAAAAGCAAATGCCTGGAATCAACCTAGATGCTCATCCACAGTGGAATGGATAAGGAAAATGTGGTACACATATACCATGAAATAATATGCAGCCACAAAAAAGAACAAAATCATGTCCTTTGCAGCAACATGGATGCAGTAGGAGGCCATTATCCTAAGTGAACTCACGCAGGAACAGAAAACCAAATACTACATGTTCTCTTTTGTAAAAGTGGGAGCCAAACATTGAGTACACATGGACACAAAGAGGGGAAAAATAGACACTAGACTTGAGGGTGGAGGGCGGGAGGCAGAGGAGGGTTGAAAACTACCACTAGACACAATGTTCACTACTTATATCATTTGTATATCAAACCTTAGCAACATGTGATTTACTCGTATGACAAACCTCATATGACAAACCTTCACGTGTACCCCTGAACCTAAAACAAAGGTTGAAAAAGAAAAAAAAAAACCTAAGAGGACAGACCAGAAAAAAAAAAATTGCCTATTACTTGGTTAAGAGGCTCAGTTTTCACACCAAAGCAGATTCAGTGATGAGTACCATCCTAGATGGATGTACATAGCCATCCTAATGTTCCCCTCCAGCCACTGAAGACCAATAGCAATAAAGGGTGTTTTTCTTTGTGTCTATTCATGGTTTGGCTAACTTGGTGCAGCTGTTCAGAGTCTTTCACATAAAGAAGGGCTAAACCCATGCCAGAAACTTGCAGTGTAGTTTTAAGACATTCTACAAGATCATTCCTGCCATGGGTGCCAAAGAAAGTGTCACAATCTGTACTAGTGACATGAGACAGGGAAAAAAAAATGTCATTTTAAGATGGAGGCATATATACAGTCTATCCATTTCATTTTGTGTTTCTGCTAGCTTTAACTGGACACATTATACAGAATCTCTTGTTTTTTTCTACTGAATTTCCAGAGTTGTCTATGAATTCCCAAGATGAGAATATCTAATGTACTTCGGAAGGTGTTACTACGCTCACAAATTCAAATGATAAAAACAAATAGGGCTTTTCAAAACATGCATAAAACCAACATACATGTTAATGCCCATGGTCTACCAGCTTAAGATGGAGGGCCCCAGAGAGAAGCACTTCAGAATTCCACAACTACACCTACTTCAGGGCTCATTTCAGGAATGAAGAGTAGATAATCATTTGTTTTGGATGCACAGGAGGCGAGCAGGGAATTTGAAAGGTGATGGAGGGAATATTCTTATTGGGGATAAAATGGAAATTATTTACTCTAGCCCTCCTCATTATCCTGTTGATTTCCATCCTACTGACATTAAGAGGTCCTCTTATTTTCCTAGCCACTTCTCTCCCTGCTCTTACCATTTTCTATTCCTTTTGATTTCATGATAAAAATTTGCAAGTCTGAAACTTACATTTCACCTGAAGTGTTAATATTCAAGCTCCGTGTATTAAAAAGAAGAATGGGGAAGGCTCCACTTTCAAACCTGTAGTCAACTCTCTAGTGTGAGAATTTTGACAAGGAGAATTGCATGTCCACTTATCAATGTATCAACACTTACCAGTGTTGCTTTTATTGGCTTGTTTCTAGTACAATCATTTTATGCAAAATTCTAAATTCGTGTAAAGATAGAGTTAAGGAAACATTTTTTAAGGTGTGTTTCATGTGCAGAAAAAATAAAGTCTAATTAATTGCTTTTCTTTCTTTTTCTTCACAAGACTAGAAATGCATTTCGGTTGTGGTCTTTTGTTGTAGTGAACAGATCTTCCTGAAGAAGAAGAAGAAAAAGATACCTCTTAGAGCAGAAATATTCTCAGGGTATTGGGGGAGAGTCCATTAAGGAGTTTAATTCTGCTAAAATAAGATCCCTAGCTGCCTTGCGCTGGAGGCATCTCATACAAAGGGTGCAATTTGGAAACTTGATTAAGTAAGTTCTGCTGCTGCTCCTTGGCAGAGTGGTACCCTGCCCAGTGGTCCACAGCTTCCTGAGCCCGTGCGTCCAATTCATCATTACTACACTTCATCAGTAAACTCCAGAGAGTCAGACCGGTTAGAATCCTAGCTCAACAAATGTATTAGCCATGGGATCATAAGTCTAGGGTTTTTTTGTTGTTGGTTACCTGAGTAAAAATCTGATTTAAAAATTTACCTCACAGCATTGTCCTAAGAAAATAATTTCTTTAAAGCAGCTAGCACAATGTCCAACATATAGTATATGTTCGAAAATTATTGTTTTCCTTTTTTTTGAAAACATATCCCAACCCAGAACTTACTCTCCCGTAAACATTTTGGGGGGAAGAAAACTAAGTAAGGCTCAATGATGCAAATAAGCAACTTATTATGAACCTATAACCGTTCAATCAAAACAGAATGCAAACACTATTTTTTTCAAAAGTGTAGGCTATACTAATTACATCCAAAGTACTTGCCTTCAATAATTTGTCCCAAAGGGGGCTTATGCTTCTTGATACAGGTCCTGGGTCTAAATAACAAGTCAACATGACTTCGATTAGTTTCCAGTGTGGGTAGTTTAGAAAGGAATCTAAAGAATTTCCCAAAAGCTCTCCTTTCTTAAAAATCCTTGAGGAAAATTACAAGGGACTTTTAATCTACAACAGGTGACTCTTTCTCAGATGTCTCATGAACCAAAGCAAAACAGACTATGTAACTAGGACCTGCTGGGCCCCAAGCTACCTTTATTTAGGTAACCATAACGAACAAAGTGCCCATCACCATGTGGTCGATTTCTTGAAAAACAGAGCTTCCTCTCTGAGTCACATAAGCTGATCTTTTTCTTTCCCATCCTAAAAGGTGACGTGAAGGACAAATAGTTCAGGGTGTTAGACACCAAAGAGCTTCCAGGGTCAGGCCACAATGACCACAGATATCTGAAAATGAACCAAATCACAAGACCTCCACAGACAGGATAACTTTCATCCTCAGTATAGAAGAAAAGACCCAGAATCCAGCTAAAAGCAACTCTCACCACTCAACCCAACTGGAGGAGAGGTGGGGGCATGAAGTGAATGTTGGTAAGACCATCAATGAACCATGGCTTATGCTGAAGCCTTCAGATCCATTTTGAAGCTCATCACCCATCAAAAGACGGTGTAAATGGAAAAAGGAATAAAGCTACCTGTCACATACATACAGTTTGAGTTGTTCTATTAAAATGGAAAGCAAAAATGCTTTGACTGCATTGCTTCCTAGTAACAGACAAGTAAAAAAGAATATTTTAGACAGTTCTCACTCTCTCAGCTAAATAGAATAAAATTCCTGGTCTGATTCCAATCCCATTATCAAAGGACCATTCACCTAATGTAAAAAAGTCCCTCTTCATCAATTTATCATTAACAAGAGCATTATTACCCAATGTAAGGGAACTGCTCTTCCCCTAGGGATTCTGTTAATGGGAGGCTGGAGGCAGATAACAAGCATGGGAATAGGTCGGCCACAGGAGGGAATGCAATATACATGTTCTGTATTCCCAGCAAAGGACATTGCACAATGGCCTTCTATGACTGATGACTTCCTGGCACACTAAAAAAAGAATGGAGGGGGCTGAGATGACAAAAGTTTAAACTTTCACAGGGCCACCTTCCATACTTTTTTTTAAGGAATCTATGCTTGTTTTTAATACACATTCCCCAGTGGCTCTTGGTTCCTGCCCAGATTTCTCATCCTCTCTTTAAGAGCACGCAGACTTGCAGTATGAAAGTGATGCATCCTGGAATAATAAGACAATGTAAATGAGCACATTTTTCAAAGACTAAGATGCTGCCGTTAGTTCCTTATTAGGTCATCCTGCAATTACAAGGTGTTGTCCAAACTCTCTATTGGTATTAACTAATTTAATCCTTCCAAAGAATTCAATTATTTGCTGTTATTTTGCCCATTTTTACAGATGTGAAAGAGGAAGCACAAAGATGTCTAACAACTCTCTGTCACAGAGTTAAAATATACATGGTAGAGCTAGGATTTGAACCCAGCACTTCTAGCACTGGAGTCCATGCTCTTGAGAAGCATACCCTAACGCCTGTCAATCCTACTACTAATAAAGTAAGAGCAGGCAAATTAATATATGACTTGAGGGATATATGAGGTAACCAACGCGTAAACAAACATTCAGGCTGGTAAAGCTGGGTGCTTCAATCAGATCATGAACATTGTAGTCGAACCCAGATTCAAATCGAGAGCAGACTCTACTACACATTAGTCAGTGCAATAAACTGAAGGTTCAAAGCCCCTCAAAAGTCATACAGGTATTGATCGACTTACCACCTATGCAACTTACGACCATTCAGCCTTACGACCACAATTGCTAGCCATGACTGCTCCATGTCTGGCAGCGCAAACGTTGCCCAGCTGGGCATACGACAGTGCGGACCAGCTTCCGGCAGCACTACCATCTCCGCGTGCGCCATTTCAACTGTACATATAGCCTACTCAACTTACAACCAAATTGTGTTACGACCGGTCCACGGTCCCGACCGTGGTCGTAAGTTGAGCACTAGCTGTATGTTGAAATCCTAACCACCAAGGTGACATTATTAGGAGGTGGGGCCTTTGGGAGTTGATTCAAAGAGAACCCTTCTCAAGTTTGAGGTCATGCAGTGTCACCAACGGTGTTGCAGAACGGGCCCATCTACCACCGCCATCAGTGGCCTATGTACATACCACGCCAGGTCTGCCTTCAGGCTGGGAAGAAAGAAAAGATGCTAAGGGGCACACGTACTATGTTAATCGTAACAATCGAACCACAACTTGGACTCCACCTGTCATGCAACTTGCAAAGATGGTGCATCCAGATCAGCCACAAACAGTAACAACCATCTAGTCAAGCCTCAGCTCGCCGGCCTCGCAGCCTCAGCTTGCCAACAGTAACTTTATCTGCCTCGCTGGAGGGTGCCAAGCACTCACCCTTACGTCAGGCTGTGAAAGACACCCTTTCCAACCCACAGTCCCCACAGCCATCACCTTACAACTCCCCCAAACCACAACACAAAGTCACACAGAGCTTCTTGCCACCTGGCTGGGAAATGAGGACAGCGCCAAACAGCCAGCCCTTTTTCATTGATCATAACACAAAGACTACAACCTGGGAAGATCCGGAAGATCCGCATTTGAAATTTCCGGGATATATGTGGTCAAAGACACCTTTAAACCCCAATGACCCTGGCCCCCTTCCTCCTGGCTGGGAAGAAAGAATTCACTTGGATAGCTGAACGTTTTATATTGATCATAACAACAAAATTACTCAGTGGGAAGACCCAAGACTACAGAACCCAGCTATTACTGGTCTGGCTGTTCCTTACTCCAGAGAATTTAAGCAGAAATATGACACCTCAGGAAGAAATTAAAGAAACCTGCTGATATTCCCAATAGGTTTGAAATGAAACTTCACAGAAACAACATATTTGAAGGGTCCTATCAGAGAATTATGTCGGTGAAAAGACCAGATGTCCTAAAAGCTAGACTATGGATTGAGTTTGAATCAGAGAAAGGTCTTGACTATGGGGGTGTGACTAGAGAATGGTTCTTCTTACTGTCCAAAGAGATGTTCAACCCCTACTATGGCCTCTTTGAGTACTCTGCAATGGACAACTACACCCTTCAGATCAATCCTGATTCATGCCTTTGTAATGAAGATCGTTTGTCCTCCTTCACTTTCACTGGAAGATTTGCTGGGCTGGCGGTATTTCACGGGAAACTCTTAGATGGTTTCTTCATTAGACATTTTACAAGACGGTTTTGGGAAAGCAGATAACCCTGAATGATGTGGAATCTGTGGATAATGAATATTACAACTCTTTGAAATGGATCCTGGAGAATGATCCTACTGAGCTGGACCTCATGTTCTGTATGGATGAAGAAAACTTTGGACAGACGTATCAAGTGGATTTGAAGCCCAACGGGTCAGAAATAATGGTCACAAATGAAAACAAAAGGGAATATATCGACTTAGTCATCCAATGGAGATTTGTGAATAGGGTCCAGAAGCAGATGAACGCCTTCTTGGAGGGATTCACAGAACTGCTTCCTGTTGATTTGATTAAAATTTTTGATGAAAATGAGCTGGAGTTGCTGATGTGCGGCCTTGGTGTTGTGGACGTGAATGACTGGAGACAGCATTCTATGTACAAGAACGGCTACTGCCCGAAGCACCCCGTCATTCAGTGGCTCTGGAAGGCTGTGCTGCTCATGGACGCCGAAAAGCGGATCTGGTTACTGCAGTTTGTCACGGGGACATCACGAGTACCTATGAATGGATTTGCCGAACTTTATGGTTCCAATGGTCCTCAGCTGTTTACAATAGGGCAATGGGGCAGTCCTGAGAAACTGCCCAGAGCTTACACATGCTTTAACAGCCTTGACTTACCTCCATATGAACCCTTTGAAGACTTACGAGAGAAACTTCTCATGGCCGTGGAAAATGCTCAAGGATTTGAAGGGGTAGATTAAGCACCCTCTACCTCGGGGGTGGTTGTTCTTCAAGCAAGTTCTGCTTGCACTTTTGCATTTGCCTAACAGACTTTTGCAGAGGCGGTGGCAGAGAGCAGCTACAGGCATGGCCCCTGGAGCCAAGCCTTCACCATGCACTCCTCCAAGTTTGGATGCAGGAACCGGTCCCAGCTTGAGTTCCTGCATTTCCCACCATAAATTACCAACTGGTTGACGTGTACACTAATTATATTTCAGGAGGACTTATGCTATTTATGTTGTGCCTCTGCAGGCAAAGCCCTTAATAAATATTTTTCATCCTTTCTAATGACAATGAATGGAATTAATCACTCTACAGGTGTAGTATTACAACTCATGTTTACATTTTAAAACGATTTAGGCCGATTTTCAGATTTCATTATGAGTAAAGAAGTCTCATGTACTTGGGAAAAAACATTTTCCAGGTACGTGAGACATATTTAATCACAATGAAATCATCAGGTTGTAAGGGCTGAGTCCTTGTGAATAAATTAGTGTATTTATAGTAGAGGCCCTAGAGAGCTGCCTTCACCATCCACTATGTGAGGACACAGCAAAACGGTGTCCTCTTTGAACCAGAAAGTGGACCCACCCCAGAAACTGAATCTACCATCACCTTGCTCTTGAACTTTCCAGCCTCCAGAATTCTGAAATATATGTTTCTGTTGTTTATAAACCACCCAATTTATGGTATTTTTGTTACAGAAGCCCAAACAGACTAAGACGGTTAAACTTGAACAAGTTAATTGACTATCTCAAGTCCCACTTTCCCCATCTTTACAATGGAGATAATAATATTACTTACCTCACAGGGTTGTGAGAATTAGATGAAATAATATCTGTGTAGGCATACTTGCATAGACTCCCAGCAACCTATTCAGTGCTCCATAAACATTAGCTATGCTAATTATCATCATCATCATCATTAGTGTTTACTACATGTGTGGATTTCCATTGCAGGTGAGTATTTAGAAGTAATGATCCTTCTTCGACTCTCCCTAGGCCCTGCAGCCATGGCGTTCAAAAGCCCACACATGTGCAATGACTAATGGGGATTAGGAGACTTGCCGCAGCTAAGGATCACAGCAAAGCTGAGGAGCTCACAGGGACTAAACTCCTCAACCTTGGCTTTATTAGTAAGTTTCTCTGGCTGAACTAACCCAGCCCATGCCATTCAAACATTCCCTTGCAAATATAAATCATTAAACCCAATAAGCCACAGACATAGAAGATTGTCCACAGCAGATAAAGCTGTGGGTCAGAGTAGCCAATCCCTGAGGCTTTGAGGGAAGAGAGGAAAAAGCAACAGCATTAATTATATAAACAGTTACTTGGAAATGCTTTAAGCATGTGTTTTAGATTCTCCTTTAATTAGGATAAATAATTACTTCACTTTCATCTTTCAGTGAGCTCTCAAACTCTCCCATGCCCTATCTTCAAATACCAACTAGAAATACTCAAAGATCGGGGGAATAAACTAACTGTGTACACGTTTAAAGCTACTTTATCTTTCTGGGTCTTGGCTTCAGCATCTGCACAATGAGGAGATTGGACAAGGTAAGTCTCCAAGGCCTCTTCCAGTAGATGTTTACAACTCTATGCAGTGTATAGAGGCAGACATAATGGCTACACCACTTTACTTGTCTCATATTCTTTTCTAGGGAGAGCATAACACTTGAATATATGAACCACATTTGTTTATTGAGCTTCAAATACTGTTTTACCCAATCAAACATCAAGACATCAGCAATGCTGTAAGTGTGCCACTCCCTGCCATAAAAGAAAGAAACCCAAAATAGGTCTAAACAATGTCTACAGACTAGCCTCAAATGAGAAATAGTTAAAAGAACTGAATGTGTTTTTGGGAAACAGCAATGTTATCTCTTTTAATTAGACTTATTATGTGTAGCGTCACAAATAGAATCAATAGATTAACATTACAGGGAAAGAGAGATGTGGGATAACTTTATAAGAAATAACTTCCACCCAAGGTAATGGTTCAAAATGGAAACAAGCATTTTATATAGCTATGAGCATTACTAAAATGAGAAGACTTCCTATCAAAGATGCTTAGAGGAAATTCCTCAGTTGGGAACATATCTGGGAAGTTGTATATTGAGCTCATATTGCCTCTGAGAGTCTTTTGTGACTCTCCCATGTAGTTAATAACCTCCATCAGATCCCCAAACACCATTCATCCTATAACTAAAGTAGATCAGTTATATTTGGTATTATATGTACGTATTGGCGTCGCCCTTACGAAACCAAGTGTCACTTTACCTTTGGTCTATCCCTATCATAGCTCCAAGCACATAGTAGATTTTCAGTAAACATTGACTGAATGATTTTTAAAAAGGAAATTGATGACTATAAGTTCAAAAAGACTGTTTTTGCCCTCAGAGAGACTTGTAATCTAACTGGAGTCAAAATCAACATAGCGAAGATAAACTTTATATAATAATGTATGATGCTTTGCACCTAGTTGGGACTTGATAAATATTTGAGAAACAAGTTTATAAACACCATGCGACTCCTCATGGTCTGTCAGACTCACTTGCATTCTCACTCTTGTGCATTCATTCAAGATTTTTCTATCACCTGGGCCACCCTTCCCCAAACTCTTCTCTAGAGAACCAAGATCCTTCCCGCCCTAGAAACCTGTATCACTTACTTACCGTCTAATAGTATGTCTAATTGCCAACATTCATTAAGCAAACAGCCATTGACTGCTCTATAGTGTGAGCTGAGCTCATCTTTGGGAGTGCAGATGAAAGAGACACATTTTCTGCCCTCAGAGGTTTAAAGTTCACTGGAAGCCAAGCATTGTCCACTAACATGGACATTTAAAAAAATTTTTTCATAGAGTCAGGGTCTCACTTTGTTGCCCAGGCTGGTCTCAAACTCCTGGACTCAAGTGATCCTCCCACCTCGGCCTCCCAAAGTGCTGGGATTACAAGTGCCTAGCCTAAAATGAACATTTTTAATACTGAATGTTACAGAAGAAACACTGAAGGTGGCACCTGACGACCATAGGTGATGATGGGCACTTGTGAAGACAATCCTGCAGGGAAAGCTTTCTGGAGGAGGTATCACCAGAGCAGAGTCTTGAAGACATGATGAAGTGAGACAGGTAAAAGAGGAAAGCTCCTTTCAGGCAAAGTAGCATGCACAGCGGCTGCAGGAAAGGAAAGCGCAATGAATTGAATATGGCTAGCATGCACAGAAGAGGTAAGAGAGGGACATGAAGAAGCAGTGTGAGCTGAGTGAGGAAGAGAGCTCTATGCCCAAAAGCCCATATTTTATCCTTACACTAATGGGGAAATTTTGAAGGATTGTAAACAAGGAAATAACCTGATTATATTTGTCTTTTATAATGTTAACTAAAACAAGAGTGGACTGAAAGGGAGGACAGGCCCTAGGCAGAGGGGCTCATTAGGAAGCAATTTTAGTAAACTATGTATGAAATGAATTAAAGCCATCTCAGTGGGGAAGAAAGGTTGGATTTACAGGAGGTTGGATTTATAGGATTGGGTAAAGTTACACTGGAAGTCAGAGTGAGTAAGGAGTCAAGGATCATTTCCAGAATTCTGACTAGAAGAGCCAAGTGGCTAGGGATGACATTTACTGAGATAGAAATACAGGAGCAGGGGTGGATTAGTAAGGAAAATGGAGAATTTCATTTTAGAGCTAGTGAGTTTGAGACGCCTGGGAGATAGTCAAGTAGGAGGCAGTTGGATACACAAATCAAAATTTGGGAGTAAGAACTAGGATGGAGGCGTGACTTTTGGAATCATAAACACGGATGGGGAATGCAAATAGTGGAAACTGATGAGATCTCACAGGGATTGTAAGTGAGGAGAAATTAAGGAAGACACCAACACCCCATCCCTAACCTGCTTCTGAAAAGCTGAAGAAACCAAAAAGTCCTCTCCCTCAAGACAGAGAAAACCGGGATCATGCACTTGTCCCAAGTCACCACTTTTCCAAAGGAAAAAGAAACAAAGACTTTAATGAATCCTAATGGGTCAGAAGTTTATCCATTGGTGATTGTTTTTAAATTTAAATACCATCTTTTTTCTGTAATTGCAGAAACATGGGAAGCTGACATTTGCTGTAAACCTGCTGACCATCAGCAACCCTGATTTGATTGTGCCCTGTTCTCTACTTTGAGGGAGGTGGGGCAGCTGGCTTAACATTTAAGAGTTTGGTGTTTTTAACTAATAAAGACTCTGCTTTTCTTTTCCCTGAAGGTTGTTTCAGCCAAACCACTGTTTTCTGCTGTTTCAATCTCAAAATAAAAGAAAACTTAAACCAAAACAAAAGAAATAAAAGGAATGTTCCCTGGACCTAAAAGTACTTGAAGTCTTGAAGAAGTGCTGAGAGGATCCTTCACTTTAGTATGCCTGCCTTGTCACCCTACAACAATTGTAAGCTCCCTGAAGGCAAATAATCAGATTATATGTGTATTTGGGTCCACTGTGGCAACTAACAGAGTGCCTTCCACATAGAACTGCCCAGTAACTACTTAGGGAATCAGTGGTTGCTTAGACAATTAGACTCATTCATACGCATATCTCTGTAGCTCTTGGAGCCTGCTTCACACTACTTATCACAATTATTTGTTATCCTGTTCTCTGGTCATTCATGGGTGCAGTCCTAGGAACTGCAGTTAGACAGTAAGCTTCTTGAAGACAGGAATGCTAACTCGGACTTCACCTTGTCTTGCATGCTGACCAAAAGCAGTGCCCAATAAAGCTTGTTGATTCACATGCTGTTGAAATTTAAATGAATTTATCCTGCTACATTACACCTTCTGAAAAGCAAAAAGAATATCTATCTCAGATTAAGCAGGACTGTAATAAGTATTCTGAAGCACACTCTAAACAATACATGTTTCTGTATGTAGCCTAACTGAGTAATTCATTCAGGAGAGTTTCCACTGAATTAGGTTTCAGCAGGCTGCACTGTGACCTTCAGTTGGTAATATACATTTCATATGCAGGCTTATAAGCAGCATCAATAATGTGGTATATTTCTTGTGAATTAAATTATCAAAGGCTTCCAGTGCAATGCAGGAAATTGCACTCACTGCACAAACCTTTTGGAATGAAAGAGAGAGGGAGAGAAAGAAGACGTAAAAAAATGAGAATGTATTCAGGGAGGCAAAGGAAGAGAAAAGGCTGGGCTCGTTGCAAGAAATCTGTGTCAACGAACTCCAGCTCCGACAGGCCAGGGGGTTACCTCACAGCCTCCATATGGCTTCACAAATAACCTTTCCATTCAGAAAGAATTATA